CAGCGAGTAGGCTGGGGGTGGGCAAGAGGCTGGGAGGGGACACAGCCAGGACAGCTGACCCCAACCGACCAAAGGGATAATTTGTATCATATGACATTGTGCTCAGCAATAAAAGTTTGGGAAAAGGAGGAGGAAGGGGGAGACGTTCATGATTATGGTGTTTGTTTTCCCAAGCAGCCATTACATATGCTAAGGCCCCACTTTCCAGGAAGCAGCTGGACATCCTCCTGCCAATGGGAAGTAGTGAATGAAATCCTTATTTTACTTTGCTTGCATGCACAGCTTTTGCTCTCCCTATTAAACTGTCATTATCTTGATCCACAAGTCTTTTAATCTTCCTTTGGTTTTCTCCCCATCTCGTGGGAGAGGGGAGTGAGCGAGTAACTGGGGGTGGGGGGGGGGGGTGGGGTTTGCCAACCACCACCATGGCCATGAGGTGGTTGGGGGTGGTGGGGACGTGGGGATGGGTGGGGAGGGTTGGGTTTTCCAACCACCACCATGGCCATGGGGTGGTTGGGGGTGGTGGGGACGTGGGGATGGGTGGGGAGGGTTGGGTTTTCCAACCACCACCATGGTTATGGGGTGGTCAGGTGTGGTGGGGACGTGGGGATGGGCGTGGAGGGCTGGAGGTGGCCATGGGGTGGTCGTGTGTGGTGGGGACGTGGGGATGGGCGTGAGCAGCTGGGGATGGCTACAAGAAGATGTGTTGGGGATGTGGGGACGGACACGGAAGGTTGGGGGATGGCCACGAGGGGACAGGTATCATGGAGACGTGGTGGGCTTGGGGACAACCCTGGTTGGGGATGACACCTGGTGGACAACCCTGTCCTCGTTCTCCTACAGGTTCCAACTACTACGTGCGGATCCTGAGCACCATCGACCGGGAGCTGCTGAAGCCCAACGCCTCGGTGGCCCTGCACAAGCACAGCAACGCGCTGGTGGACGTCCTCCCACCCGAGGCCGACAGCAGCATCATGATGCTCACGTCAGGTGGGCCACCACCGCGTCCTTCTTTTAGAGGAACCTTCAGAGCTGATCCCAAATGGTGGAGAGCGGCTGGACCTGGTCCAGGTCCACCCAGACGGGGTGGGGGGGGGTGGTGGGGCTCCATCCTTGGCCGCACCCATCCCTCACGTTGGATCCTGAGCACCTGCTCTGCTTGGAGATGTTCTGGGGAGGAGGTCGGACCGGGGACTTGTTGTCCCTGCTGTCTCAGGAGAGCAGAGCCATGGGTAAGGTCTACACGGGTGGTGGGGCTCCGTCCTTGGAGACATCCAACCCTCGCCTGGGCAAGGTCCTGAGCGCCCCACCCTGCTTGGAGAAGTTTTGAAGGAGACGTTGGACCAGGGACCTGCTGTCCCAAGGGGTTGGAGCCATGACCAAGGGTGGTGGGTCTCCATCCTTGGTCCCCAGTGACCTGCTCTGGTGGGAGGTGCTTTGGGGAGGAGGTTGGACCAGGAAGGTCTTCTCCTTGTTGGCACGTAAGGATGGAAGCCCGGCTGGGTGGTGGGGCTCCATCCTTGGAGCTCCCCAACCGTCACCTGGGCAAGATCCCAGGAGACCTGGGCTGGTTGGGGCTGTTCTCCGGTGGCCAAGGTAGCCCCGCAGCGCCCTCCAAGGGTCCCCGGCCACCGCGGTGGCCCTGGCGGGTGGCCCCGCTGATGGCCCGTCCCCGTTGCAGACCAGAAGCCGGACGTGATGTACGCCGACATCGGGGGCATGGACATCCAGAAGCAGGAGGTCCGAGAGGCCGTGGAGCTGCCCCTCACCCACTTCGAGCTCTACAAGCAGGTACGACCGCGTGGCACCCCAGGGTGGGGGGGACAAGGGGACCTTTGGTGACCCGCGACGTCACCCCTGGGTGTCCTGTCCCCACCTAGATCGGCATTGACCCCCCGCGGGGCGTCCTCATGTACGGACCCCCCGGCTGCGGCAAGACCATGTTGGCCAAGGCTGTGGCCCACCACACCACAGGTGGGGCACCTCGGGGTGCTGGGGTAACCGTTGGGTGGTGGTGGGCTCCTTGGGTGGGTTGGGGTCCTTGGGTTGGCGTTGGGGTACCCCAGGGTGCTGGTGGAGACCTCGGGGTGCTGGGGTAACCGTTGGGTGGTGGTGGGCTTCTTCAGTAGTGGTGGGGGCTTTGGGGTGCTGTGGGGGCACCCTAGGGTGCTGGTGGGATCCTCAAGGTTCTGGTGGGATCCTTGGGTTGCTGAGAGCACCCTGGGGTGCTGGTGGGCTCCTTGGGTTGCTGAGGGCACCCTGGGGTGCTGGTGGGCTCCTTGAGGTGCTGGTGGCACTGGTGCGGCACTGGGACCTGCACTGGGAGCAGTGGGGGGAGCCAGGGAGGGACACTGGGGGGATCCATGGAGCTGCAGTGGGAGCACTGGAGTGGCACTGGGAGCACTGGGATGGCACTGGGAGCACTGGGGGGGGGGATCCGTGGAGCCATACTGGGGACACTGGGTCAGCACTGGGAGCACTGGAGCCGCACTGGGAGGAGCCAAGGAGGGGCACTGGGCACACTGGGTGCACTGGGAGCACTGGGGGGAGCCAGGGTGCCGCACTGGGAGCACTGGGGCAGCACTGGGACCTTCAGTGGGGCAGCACTGGGACCTGCACTGGGAGCACTGGGGGGAGCCAGGGAGTGGCACTGAGAGCACTGGGACGGCACTGGGAGCACTGGGGGGGGATCCATGGAGCCTCACTGGGGACACTGGGTCGGCACTGGAAGCACTGGGTCGGCACTGGGAGCAGTGGAGTGGCACTGGCTTGGGGTGCTGGTGGGCTCCTTGGGGTGCTGGTGTGATCCTTGGGGTGCTGAGAGCACCCCAGGGTGCTGGTGGGCTCCTCGAGGTGCTGGTGGGCTCCTCGAGGTGTTGGTGGGTTCCTGGGGGTGCTGGTGGCCAAGGAAGGTCTGGGGGTGCTCCCAGAGGCACCCCCACCCAGAGACAAGGTCCCAGCCCCTGCGGGTGCCCCCAGCCGCCTTCATCCGGGTGGTGGGCTCGGAGTTCGTGCAGAAGTACCTGGGGGAGGGGCCCCGCATGGTGCGCGACGTCTTCCGCCTGGCCAAGGAGAACGCCCCCGCCATCATCTTCATCGATGAGATCGACGCCATCGCCACCAAGCGCTTCGACGCCCAGACCGGGGGTGAGGGGACGCGGGGACCCCGTGGTGGGGTTCGGGGACCCTTTGGTGGTCGGTGGGGCTTGGGTGGGGGTCAGGAACCCTCTGGAGAACCCTGTGGTGGGGTTTGGGGACCCCTTGGTGGGCCTTGGGTGGGGGTCAGGAACCCTCTGGAGAACCCCGTGGTGGAGGTCAGGGACCTCCTGGTCTTGGAGGTGGCTCCAGGGTGGGGGGCAGGGATGTCCTGGTGTCCCCAGGCCCTTGGAGATGTTGGGGGGGTTCAGGAACCCTGTTGAGAACCCCGTGGTGGGGTTTGGGGACCCTTTGGTGGTCCTTGGGGCTTGGGTGGGGGTCAGGAACCCTCTGGAGAACCCCGTGGTGGAGGTCAGGGACCTCCTGGTCTTGGAGGTGGCTCCAGGGTGGGGGTCAGGGATGTCCTGGTGTCCCCAGGCCCTTGGAGATGTTGGGGGGGTTCAGGAACCCTGTTGAGAACCCCGTGGTGGGGTTTGGGGACCCTTTGGTGGTCCTTGGGGCTTGGGTGGGGGTCAGGAACCCTCTGGAGAACCCCGTGGTGGAGGTCAGGGACCTCCTGGTCTTGGAGGTGGCTCCAGGGTGGGGGTCAGGGATGTCCTGGTGTCCCCAGGCCCTTGGAGATGTTGGGGGGGTTCAGGAACCCTGTTGAGAACCCCGTGGTGGGGTTTGGGGACCCTTTGGTGGTCCTTGGGGCTTGGGTGGGGGTCAGGAACCCTCTGGAGAACCCCGTGGTGGAGGTCAGGGACCTCCTGGTCTTGGAGGTGGCTCCAGGGTGGGGGTCAGGGATGTCCTGGTGTCCCCAGGCCCTTGGAGATGTTGGGGGGGTTCAGGAACCCTGTTGAGAACCCCGTGGTGGGGTTTGGGGACCCTTTGGTGGTCCTTGGGGCTTGGGTGGGGGTCAGGAACCCTCTGGAGAACCCCGTGGTGGAGGTCAGGGACCTCCTGGTCTTGGAGGTGGCTCCAGGGTGGGGGTCAGGGATGTCCTGGTGTCCCCAGGCCCTTGGAGATGTTGGGGGGGTTCAGGAACCCTGTTGAGAACCCCGTGGTGGGGTTTGGGGACCCTTTGGTGGTCCTTGGGGCTTGGGTGGGGGTCAGGAACCCTCTGGAGAACCCCGTGGTGGAGGTCAGGGACCTCCTGGTCTTGGAGGTGGCTCCAGGGTGGGGGTCAGGGATGTCCTGGTGTCCCCAGGCCCTTGGAGATGTTGGGGGGGTTCAGGAACCCTGTTGAGAACCCCGTGGTGGGGTTTGGGGACCCTTTGGTGGTCCTTGGGGCTTGGGTGGGGGTCAGGAACCCTCTGGAGAACCCCGTGGTGGAGGTCAGGGACCTCCTGGTCTTGGAGGTGGCTCCAGGGTGGGGGTCAGGGATGTCCTGGTGTCCCCAGGCCCTTGGAGATGTTGGGGGGGTTCAGGAACCCTGTTGAGAACCCCGTGGTGGGGTTTGGGGACCCTTTGGTGGTCCTTGGGGCTTGGGTGGGGGTCAGGAACCCTCTGGAGAACCCCGTGGTGGAGGTCAGGGACCTCCTGGTCTTGGAGGTGGCTCCAGGGTGGGGGTCAGGGATGTCCTGGTGTCCCCAGGCCCTTGGAGATGTTGGGGGGGTTCAGGAACCCTGTTGAGAACCCCGTGGTGGGGTTTGGGGACCCTTTGGTGGTCCTTGGGGCTTGGGTGGGGGTCAGGAACCCTCTGGAGAACCCCGTGGTGGAGGTCAGGGACCTCCTGGTCTTGGAGGTGGCTCCAGGGTGGGGGTCAGGGATGTCCTGGTGTCCCCAGGCCCTTGGAGATGTTGGGGGGGTTCAGGAACCCTGTTGAGAACCCCGTGGTGGGGTTTGGGGACCCTTTGGTGGTCCTTGGGGCTTGGGTGGGGGTCAGGAACCCTCTGGAGAACCCCGTGGTGGAGGTCAGGGACCTCCTGGTCTTGGAGGTGGCTCCAGGGTGGGGGTCAGGGATGTCCTGGTGTCCCCAGGCCCTTGGAGATGTTGGGGGGGTTCAGGAACCCTGTTGAGAACCCCGTGGTGGGGTTTGGGGACCCTTTGGTGGTCCTTGGGGCTTGGGTGGGGGTCAGGAACCCTCTGGAGAACCCCGTGGTGGAGGTCAGGGACCTCCTGGTCTTGGAGGTGGCTCCAGGGTGGGGGTCAGGGATGTCCTGGTGTCCCCAGGCCCTTGGAGATGTTGGGGGGGTTCAGGAACCCTGTTGAGAACCCCGTGGTGGGGTTTGGGGACCCTTTGGTGGTCCTTGGGGCTTGGGTGGGGGTCAGGAACCCTCTGGAGAACCCCGTGGTGGAGGTCAGGGACCTCCTGGTCTTGGAGGTGGCTCCAGGGTGGGGGTCAGGGATGTCCTGGTGTCCCCAGGCCCTTGGAGATGTTGGGGGGGTTCAGGAACCCTGTTGAGAACCCCGTGGTGGGGTTTGGGGACCCTTTGGTGGTCCTTGGGGCTTGGGTGGGGGTCAGGAACCCTCTGGAGAACCCCGTGGTGGAGGTCAGGGACCTCCTGGTCTTGGAGGTGGCTCCAGGGTGGGGGTCAGGGATGTCCTGGTGTCCCCAGGCCCTTGGAGATGTTGGGGGGGTTCAGGAACCCTGTTGAGAACCCCGTGGTGGGGTTTGGGGACCCTTTGGTGGTCCTTGGGGCTTGGGTGGGGGTCAGGAACCCTCTGGAGAACCCCGTGGTGGAGGTCAGGGACCTCCTGGTCTTGGAGGTGGCTCCAGGGTGGGGGTCAGGGATGTCCTGGTGTCCCCAGGCCCTTGGAGATGTTGGGGGGGTTCAGGAACCCTGTTGAGAACCCCGTGGTGGGGTTTGGGGACCCTTTGGTGGTCCTTGGGGCTTGGGTGGGGGTCAGGAACCCTCTGGAGAACCCCGTGGTGGAGGTCAGGGACCTCCTGGTCTTGGAGGTGGCTCCAGGGTGGGGGTCAGGGATGTCCTGGTGTCCCCAGGCCCTTGGAGATGTTGGGGGGGTTCAGGAACCCTGTTGAGAACCCCGTGGTGGGGTTTGGGGACCCTTTGGTGGTCCTTGGGGCTTGGGTGGGGGTCAGGAACCCTCTGGAGAACCCCGTGGTGGAGGTCAGGGACCTCCTGGTCTTGGAGGTGGCTCCAGGGTGGGGGTCAGGGATGTCCTGGTGTCCCCAGGCCCTTGGAGATGTTGGGGGGGTTCAGGAACCCTGTTGAGAACCCCGTGGTGGGGTTTGGGGACCCTTTGGTGGTCCTTGGGGCTTGGGTGGGGGTCAGGAACCCTCTGGAGAACCCCGTGGTGGAGGTCAGGGACCTCCTGGTCTTGGAGGTGGCTCCAGGGTGGGGGTCAGGGATGTCCTGGTGTCCCCAGGCCCTTGGAGATGTTGGGGGGGTTCAGGAACCCTGTTGAGAACCCCGTGGTGGGGTTTGGGGACCCTTTGGTGGTCCTTGGGGCTTGGGTGGGGGTCAGGAACCCTCTGGAGAACCCCGTGGTGGAGGTCAGGGACCTCCTGGTCTTGGAGGTGGCTCCAGGGTGGGGGTCAGGGATGTCCTGGTGTCCCCAGGCCCTTGGAGATGTTGGGGGGGTTCAGGAACCCTGTTGAGAACCCCGTGTCAGGGGAGATGTCAGAGTTGGAGACCCTGTGGGGATCTGGGGGCCACGGGGACATTGGGGAGCCCAGGGGACATCAGGAACCTCAGGGAGATGTTGGCGTTGGGGACATCAGGGACCCCAGGGAGATGTTGGGGTTGGGGACCCCATGGGGACGTCGGGGACCCAAGGGGACGTTGGGGACCCCACAGGGACACTGGGGCGGGGGGTGAGGACCGCAGGGGACAACGAGGACTCCACAGGGGACGTTGGGGACGTCAGGGACCTGAGAGGGGACGGGGGGACCCCGGGGGATGTCAGGGAGGGTTGGGGACATCGGGGAGGGGACATCGAGGAGGGGACGTTTCCTTCACCCACCCCCCCCAGATGTGGCGCGGCCGGACAAGATCTCGGGGGCCGACATCAACTCCATCTGCCAGGAGGTGGGTGACAGGGGGACGCGGGGACACAGGGGACACCGGTGCCGCGGCCCTCCAGGAGGGGTGACGGCAAGGTGGCACGGTGACACGGGTGCCGTGTCCCTCCATGGCAGGGTGACAAGGAGGTGACA